TTGCATGTCCTGAATGCCAGCCAGCTTTTTGAACATGCTGTATCGAGGCTGCAAACGATGATGTCAGATATCCAGAAGAGCAATCGCTGCTTTTTCATCTATTCAACTCTAAATGACACCATCATTCCCTAACTTCCCATCATGGCTTATCGAATAAGACTTAAAACTAGAGATTGAGACCAATAACTCGACAGGAAACTCGTTTACTTTGGGAATAAATAAAGTGTGAAATACAGTAGGGTCATTTTCTCATCAATCTGGCAGTTCTTTGCAGCCAATCCCGGATTTTGAATCTTGGACAAAGCCAGCATAAACCTTTAAATTGACCAAGTCACTTCTAATGAAAGATCTTTACCATTCTGAGTCTTCAGATATTTGAGAAACTACTTTGCTGTCAAAAAAACAACAAAAATAAGACCCAAGGTAGGATTACTTTTTGAGGATGAATTTTTTATGGTCTCGCATTTCTAAAAGCGTTTCCTAAAGGCTGAGAGGAGCATTTTGTCTTTTAGCTGAAGTGGAAAGACAGAAATCTGCCAAGCTGAAGTTATGAGGTTTTAGGTTCCTGTGTGTGTGTGTGTGTGTGTGTGTGTGTGTGTGTGTGTGTGTGTGTGTGTGTGTGTGTGTGTGTGTGTGTGTGTGTGTGTGTGTGTGTGTGTGTGTGTGTGTGTGTGTGTGTGTGTGTGTGTGTGGTCTAGCATTACTATACTTGTGGGGACCCACATCTGTTTACATAGTCACGTGTGGGGACTGGCTTCCCTTATGGGGACAAATTGGAGGTCCCCATGAGGGGAATCATTCATTTTAGGGTGAAGACTTGGTTAGGTTTAGGATTAGGGTTAGGGTTAGGGTTAGGCATGTGTTGGTTATGGTTAAGGTTAGGATAAGTCTCCAGGAAATGCATGTAAGTCAATGTAATGTCCCCTGAAGTGATGTATACATGGTATGTGTGTGTGTGTGTGTGTGTGTGTGTGTGTGTGTGTGTGTGTGTGTGTGTGTGTGTGTGTGTGTGTGTGTGTGTGTGTGTGTGTGTGTGTGTGTGTTTGTGCTGCCATCAAACAGATGGGGCTTCTTTTTCATCTCAACCAGAGGAGACGCAGCCATCCATTTCCCTCCCTTCTCTTTCTTTACTTTCACACACCTTCCCCTTTTTCTTTTCTGCCCATCTCTCTTTGTCTCTGACATCCTCCTCAACTCTAGTGGGAATCTACCCATAATGCACCACGAGGAAATTGCCCCATAATGAATACAGCACTTTTAAATTGGAGTAGAGCTGCAGGCGGGGAGCAGACCGGCCACTGAAATATTCACAACGCTTTATTAACGCTGTTATTCCTGGCAGATGCACTGTGCGCACTAACAGTTGGCGATAATCATGCAGTGCCGCTGGGTTGTACAGTTAGTCATCTCCTCTCAGTTTGTATTTCAATCTGGTTTATAGTCGTCGCAGCAAGAAAATCAATGACAAATAAAGCACATCAATTCAGATCCTTTTTTTCAATGCAATCGCTTCAAATTCAGACAAATACGACCATATTAGTATAAGACGACATGCATTTTAGGGATTATGTCACTGTTAATGTCGTGGGTGTCATGTGATTGACAGGAAGCAGACTTAATTACAAAGGACGTCAGCAGCCGAGACGTCTCAAACAATGACTGCTCTGAACATGTCTCTTGTCTATTCAGAAGATATGAATGTAATGAAAGAAGACACAAAAAAAGAAAATGAAGGTTTTGTTCTGACTGAATTTTCTGCTGCTGTGGAAGATGGCTTTTTGGAAGAGCTATTTTGTGAGTTAAGCAAGGAATACTGAGGCGGGGAACATCTCAAACACAGAAATATAACCAGGCTCTGCAGATCCGCTTTTTAGCATCCGTTAGCACGTTGTTTGGGTCTAATTGCCTCATATCGTGTAGCTAGCTGCATACCGATGGCTTGTCGTCAGATGAGTTCGAATCATAAAATAAGGCAATATTCTTTCCTCCACCCCTCTCGTTCATGTCAAACAATACACTATGTTTGACCCACTTTTCCCAAAAAACCCGATCAGCCATCACCTCACCCTCACTTGCTTCCACACCCTGTGCTGTTTGTTTATGTCACCGTTTAGCACTAATCTTTTTCATCGAGGTTACATCACTCTTCATCGGTGTGTGTGTGTGTGTGTGTGTGTGTGTGTGTGTGTGTGTGTGTGTGTGTGTGTGTGTGTGTGTGTGTGTGTGTGTGTGTGTGTGTGTGAAGCGAAGGACGACGCTACCGCTGAACTGGGTCGTGGGTAACACGTTGCTATAGCAACTGCTATTTGCCTGCCCTGGGGCCAAGCACTGCTTTTCATCGCTTACACTTTCTCTCTCTGTTCATCCTCGATTCATCCTCTGCCGCTTTCTTCACCTCCTTCCCTTTGTTCATCCGCTCGCTCTTCATCGATCTCTTCCTTCCTCTCACCTCTGCTTTCCTTTCTCTCTCTCTCACTCTCCCCTCGCTAACACTACCACTCGTTGCTTCTCTTTTGTCTCAAACACAATCAAAGAGCCGGCCTCTATCTGTCCGACTCTGTTAATTGAAATCCTATTAAAGCACGGGGACACTTCCTAGTTTTGAGGTGACAACAACATTTTCGATATAGGCGATCCAGCCGCTGTGCTCCCAGGAACCTGTGTGTCGTCCTTGGTCTGGGATTGTTGAGATGATATATGATGCAGCAGGAGCGTTACATATTGTCTTGGCGATTAACTCCAGCTGGCTCACTGTAAGCACTGCGTGGGCATGCAGCCATAGTTCATAGAAGGAGCAGCGATACGAGAGGCACTGAGATGCAGCGAGGTATAAAACGGGAGCGATGGGCTGTGTGTCACCTAAATTCTCCTCTAATGAATAGCCCATTGATTTCCATTAGGGCCGGCTGGAGCTGACCACTCCGGCCTGTCTGCTTCCCATTAGCACACTTTAAAACTGAGGCTGACAAACAGTCACACAGCCCTCAGGCGGACCGGATGAGAGCCCCGCTCAGTGTTTAAAAGAAACCTGGGAGTTCAAACAGGAAGCTGCATGGGGGACAGCAGGAGCTTTAAATACCAGTCATGCTCTTTTAAACCCCAAAGTATTCTCTTAAAACAAATCCTCTCTTTTCCCCGCCTTGCAACGAGCTAAATATCAAGATAGCAGACAGGTCATTCATGATTTGCATTTGAAAGAGCAGGATTATATCTCACTTTCATGTCTTATTCTCTTCTCCAAATGAAAATACTTGTTTTTTTAGCGCTGCAGCTTCTCAACAGCCTCCCGGTCCTCATTGTACCAGTGAGTCCATTGCAATCCCCCCGAGACCTGGCCTCTTTCTGGGCCCAGCCTTATCAGCTTCACCTCTCCATCAGCCCGCTTTCTTCATTAACATTAATAGGATTTGGATATATTATGCAACTGTCTGGTTACGCAACGGTCTTCATCGGCAGCGCACAGAAGCATCTTAGATTTACAGCTTTTCATTCACTCAGACACGGAGCGAGGGGAGTTCTCAATATGTGTGGGCACGTTATCCCAAACAGAGGTCAGATACAAGCCTCGGCTCTTATCGGAAAACATTTAAGACTGATAAAGGTGGTAAATCTTAAAATCTGCTGGCTGTCATGGTTAATAATCCCATTTTTTAGAAACATATATATTAAAAAGTCCTTAATATAGTCACATATTACTGTAAATCTGTATCTGTACTGAAGGGTTAGTGCACATGAACGCCCCTTTAAGTCAGAACAACTACTACATTGTCACGTTAAAGTCGCCCTATTATGCTTTTTGGGGTTTTCCCTTTCCTCTAGTGTGTTCTATAGGTTTTTGTGCATGTAACTGTTCACGTTGAGAAACCTGATCCCAGTAGTGAAGCTATCGATGACTCCTCCTCAGCAGGGAATCAATCAGCTCTTTTAAACCTGTCAATATCAACGTGTAACACGACCTGACCTGAACGCAGCACAGCGGACCCGTCATGAAAACCTGTGGATTCGTGGATTCAACAAACTTCTTCTGAACATTCAAAAATAATGATGATGCCTCAGATGTGCCAAATGGAGCAGGTTGTCATGGAAACAGCTAAATGACACACACACACACACACACACACACAAGAGACAGTTCGTTTTGGCTTTGTTTTTTCACGGCAGAATAACTTCCTGCTTTGCTGAAGGAGCTATTTTTAACGGCTGTTATATAAGATGCGGCTCCAGCGCTCGATTAAATGTTTTCTCTTCCCTTTCATATTCCTCTTCTTCCCTCTGATGAGAGCAGAAAGACCCGTGTTTCCCGTACGCTTAATGTGAAAAATAAACAAATAATTCATCACCATCATTCTTTAGAAACTGCTCAAGCGATAACTGTCCATCGTTTATAATCATTTAAAAGATGTGAAAACGCATAAAAAGCTCTCAAATACATGCAAGACGTGCAGACCAATTTCCAAGTTTAAATTGCACCGAAAACCAAAAGTATATGAAGCAAAACACGAGTCTTATCCTCACTTTCATCTGTAGGAGAAACCTAGTAATCTTCAGTATTTGCCGCTCTAAAATCACCTCACTGCACTGATGCCCTAGAAAAGGAGTTCATGAGATATTCATGCACGTGAAATGTTTCTTTAAAGACAGAAGGCAGATGGGTCTTTTTTGTGAGCATTGCAGCTAACATGTAATATTCAGCGCTCCCAGCTGAACGCACACTAACGGAGGACCGTGCTATGATTAGCCGCTCGACGTGCTGACTGGGAGAAGTGTTGTTCACGCTCTCGCTGTACACGCATTCAGCCGAAGCAGTAAGATCACTCGTGTTTCTGCACATGCAAAAGAAAGCGTTGCAGTGAGTGTCATCACCGAGCCACCGTATGAGACACTGCAGTGTGCTCGGTTTGCTCCTGATGGTTCAAAGCATGTGTTTTCACTGTCACATCTGACCGATAACTTCAGGAAAGCATTGCATCAGTGGTTTACTCCTCTCTCTCTCTTTGTAGGATGCTTCGAGTGCTGCATCAAGTGTCTGGGGGGGGTGCCCTATGCCTCTCTGGTGGCCACCATCCTGTGCTTCATAGGCGTGGCTCTGTTCTGCGGGTGCGGCCACGTGGCGCTGAGCGGCACCCTGACCATGCTGGACAACCACTTCTCCACGGTGACCACGGACCACGCCACCCTCACCATGGTGTAAGTCTTTCTACCCCACCTCTTCATTGAGACTTAAGGAGCATTGATGAGCTCTTGGCACCCTTAAAGGATTCAGTGGCCTTGCAATTGAATATAGCCTACTGCTGAACTGTTAGCGAATATCTCAACCACATTTTTTTTTTCTGTGTGTGTTTTTAGAATCCAGATCTTTCAGTACATCATCTACGGCATCGCCTCCTTCTTCTTCGTGTACGCCATCCTCCTGCTGGCTGAGGGCTTTTACACCACCAGCGCCATCAAGAAGGAGCTGCAGAGCGACTTCAAGACCACCGCGTGTGGGCGCTGCATCACCGCCTTCGTATGTGCACGCACACACACACACACACACACACACACACACACACACACACACACACACACACGGGCAGCTGCTGCAAATCATCACACCCACTGACCCAGATGAAAGCCTCTAGATTAGATCACTTTTGATGGGTTTTTTATAAGGTCCTGGCTTATAAAAAAAGGAACACAAAGCAGACATTTACAAGCCTGATCATTGTAAGAGCTGCTGGGCACAATCACACACTTTATGGACACACTCGTAAGGACAGAGGCAAACACACACACACACACACACACACACACACACACACACACACACACACACACACACACACACACACACACACACACACACACACACACACACACACACACACACACACACACACACACACACACACACACACACACACACACACACACACACACACACACACACACACACACACACACACACACACACACACACACACACACACACACACACACACACACACACACACACACACACACACACACACACACACACACACACACACACACACACACACACACACACACACACACACACACACACACACACACACACACACACACACACACACACACACACACACACACACACACACACACACACACACACACACACACACACACACACACACACAGCCAGCCAGCCAGCCAGCCAGCCAGCCCTTGAGGGTAACTCTGGCACAGTTTGTCCTTCCTCGCCTTATTACACTAATTGCTGCAGATGTCCAGTAACATTAGCTTAGACACGGACTCTAAATGTCCTGATGGAATGATATTAACCTATTTCTCCTTTGAAAACTTTTGGGGAAACTCAAAAGGACATGATATTAATCTCTTTCTCCTCCTCAGTTCATGTTCCTGACCTACATCATGTTCCTGGCCTTCCTCGCCATTTTCGGCTTCACGGCTATTCCCGTTTTCCTCTTCTTCAACATGTGGACTACCTGCTCTGCCATGAGGTCTCCTGACGCCAACATCACCTCGCCTGAGTCCATCTGTGTGGACGTCAGGCAGTACGGTGAGCTGCCCCACATACACTCGTTTATCTTTTCATTTATCTTCTCTGTGTGCCACTCAATCTTCAGCTAGTGTTTCTCTGGGTACGGTTCGATTAAACATCATATTAAACATTTTCAGGTTCATATCAGTATGTCGTGTCTCTACTGTGACATGTGTCCATGCTTTAATGTTGAAAAAGCTCTTTTTGTCTCTCATACTGCCTGTGCTGAACCCTTTTCACCCTCTGTCTGAAACCAGGGAGAGGGCCTCTTTAAAGGGAATTTAAAGAGCTGTTTATCAGGATTCAAAGTTGGATTGTTCCCTCGTGGCCCTCCAATTATGTTTTTCTGTATTCTAATAAACCCCAGTCTCCTGCAGAGTGGTGGTGTTTCTCTGCTCATCCCTGAGTGTGTGGGTGTTTCTCAATGTCGAGGACGCTTGCTTGGTAGCACATGTCTTCCGAGTCACTTGCTTCAGAAGCGAGCCTCGGAAAATGAAGAATTGTGGAACAGGTTAACAGGTGTGCGTCATGTGCGAGGCCCCGCCTTAAATGGAGCGCGATTTCCGCCAAATATTTGGAAATTGGTCCGTGCGCAAAGCATTGTGGGGATTTTAAGACCGCAGAGTCTACACATGTGCAGCCTCGAAATTTCCCGCTACGAAGTACGCCGGCCTCGGTAGAGTTCCAAGTATGCTGGACATTGGAACAGTACTTCGGCGGCACTCGATGACGTAGTATGCTTGAAATAGTGGCTCTGGAGCAGCCTTCCTCGACATTGAGAAACACCCTGTGAGTGCGGCCTCTCCTTTATACCGCTCTGTGTCTGCACAGCTGAGCTCATCAAGGCTCCTCCTCTGATCACAGGTCATTGGGATCAGCTGTGCAATCACCATTTCAAACTTGGTTAATAAAACACCAATTTAACTGAAAGAAAATATGTTTTAAGGCTCAATATCATACTTAAGAAGTTACTTAACTTATTCAGCTTTCATTTTATATTGGCATCGTCTGTGAAAGTGAAGCACCTTTCTCCGAATGATAGTGTATTGGCACGTTTTCCCCTGTTGGCCACCGTAGTTTTGACATGTTTGTTCCATCTTGCAATCAGTAATATTTCATTAGTTCCTTCACATGACATCCACACACATTTAGCTCTATCTGCAAAATATAGAAAAGAATCCAAAAGGCTTTACCCTGCTCTCCGCCGCTTCACTTAACATATGTATCCCTCTGCTTGAAATGTCATCCACTATATAGGAAGAGGTCAACAAATACATTTAGATTATTGAGAGGCTGATTGGATCTCTATGAAAACCCACATTGCTGCAGTATTACGGCACAGTAGCGCTCTCCAATGATTGCGTATCTGTGTGAGGGTATCTGGGTGTGACCCACATTTGAAGGACAGCTGGCCCGCTCGCAAAGTAGGATGAGGATCACATATGCTGCTGGCAGCCCTGATACTACACTGTATAAAATATTAACCCCAATTACTGGCAAATTATTATCCAAGCTTTTATCTTATTTATAATGATGCTGAAAAGGCGAAAAAGGGACACACTAGCTGGTTTTGAAAAACTGTAAAAAAGCGACCCGTATTTTTCCTGTGGGAGCGGCTCAGCGCTTTTCTTTAATCTTTATCCGATTGTTAATGCAGTCTCGGGGGAGGAGAAAGCTTCTTGACGTTTTATCTCCCTCATCCTGCAGGTATTATTCCCTGGAACGCCACTCCGGGAAAAGCTTGTGGGGCCACACTGGGAGACATCTGTAACACCAGCGAGGTGAGAGGACTATCCTTCCCTTCTTTTATTTCCCTGTATCTCCCCTCTCTAACTCTCTGTCTCCCCCCCCCCCCCACAGTTCTACCTCTCCTACCACCTCTACATCGTCGCGTTCGCCGGCGCCGGAGCCACCGTCATCGCACTGGTAAGATCACTGATAATGTGCTGCGCCTCTCACACGTTCTGTCAGCATGTCCTCCTGAAGCGGTGAAATCTGAGCCTGCGTGAGCGAGAGGAGACGGGGTCAGCGTGTTTTCACTCCGCTGTGGAGGCGGACCGCTTTGTTTCACGTCCAGGGAAATGGAGATGCTAAACAAAGCAATAAGCAGATGTTGAGGTGGATCATCTGAACGCCCCCTCCGCACTGTGATGTGCTCCAGCTTACAGGATAGGAAGATAGGATTTTGGAAAAACAAAATGTCTGAAGTACAACTCTGAAATGTCCGAATTGCCCAATGAGAATCGAGTATTCAACTAAGCCTAATACAACTAATACAATGTTTTAACTCATCTAAGTCACCCTACATTGACGTCAACAAACCATCCCATGTTGCTAACAGAGTGGTGCTGTGATTTGTGTTGTGTGTTATTGGGACACTGCAATGCTACTTAAGCTTGTTTTAAGTACTTGTGTTTCCTCTCCAGATCCACTACCTGATGATTTTGGGCGCTAACTGGGCCTACCTGAAGAGCGCCGTGTCCACGCACGACTACCAGGACATCAAGACCAAGGACGACCAGGACCTGGAGGCGGAGGCGCGCTCCAAGGAGGGCCAGAACTCCTCCTCCTACTCATAAGGAGGACAGCTCCTCACCACATCCTCTCCACACCTCCACACCCCCACCCCGCGACACCCGACCCCTCCCTCTGTTAAAACAAACCACCTCGGCCATGTTTGATAGTCCCCCGAGCCCCTCCTGGCCCCCCACCCTCCTCCCTTCCCACCGAAGGGAGCAGGGTGGAGGGTGAGGAGTGGCGGCTGGAGGCAGATGCTTCAGAACGGGAGAGCTCGCCCGCCGGGTGCTCGCTCAGGTCCGGAGCGTCCGTTCAGAAGCGTCTCCCCCCCGAGCGTTAGGGCGGCGGCTCGTGAACGTGGCCCCGGCTGTGATGGCCTCGCGCTAGGAGCCAAAAAACAGCTCCTAAAAAAAAAAAAAAACATTGTTCACTGTCGTCAGGCAGCGACCAACTTCCTCCTTTTTTGGTGTTTTATATGCATATGAATATATTGTGCGAATGTGTACGAATGTTGTTTTTTTTAATACTCTGAGAAGTATGCCAGGTACTCTTTTCTTCTTCTTTATGTTTTCGCGGCCACTGTTTTTCTTTCTTCTCCATTTTAGACTTTTTATTGCTAATGCTCGATACGTTGTTGCACTATTATTACGAAACAAAAAAATGAGGGAGGACGATAACCCCTTAACTAACCCCCCTCTGTCTCATAGAAACATCTAATGTGGTATCTCAAGGATTACTGAGCATTTACAAAAGCTTATTTTTCTGCCATGGTTATTATCAGTTATTAAGACCAGAGGTGGAGCAGCTTCTTATTTGAGGGAACTTTTGCGTATTTTCTTGCCAAGGGTTAGATGGTATCGTCTTACTCTCTGCAAGAAAGTAAATGAAAGTCTTAAGCTACACTTATCACCAGCGGCAACAAATCAAAGATAAATGGTATTTGAACACAAAACAGACACACACCTCAGGTATCAAACCAAATCTGATTTTAGCCACTTTTGTTCTTTTGCCGCTAAACGGAATCTACCGGATTGGTACGCTGTGACAATTAAACATTTATTTTGCAAATTTCTCCTTTTGTGAATGAAATCCACCTGTAAATAGCTAAACCCTTAAAAAATGTACACTTTCCTTAAAATAAGAACAGTGTTTCGCCATGCTCTTCTATTCTTTTTTCCACAGATATATGTAAATGTACCCTTTGAGATATGTGTTTAGCACTCAAATAGTTCTGCATTTGATATAAATACTAATTGTTACGTGGTGAGAGGGATGCAGTGCAGTTAAGATATGACACGATGGATTGAGGTGCTTGTGACGTACACATTTTAAAATGTAAAGAAAAAATAAATATGGAAGGTTTTTAATGTTTTCTCAGTTTTTAGGCAGCTGGGTTATTAATCTTGTGATTCAGTAATTTTATGGATTTATTTGTGGGTTTTTTTTTCTCTCCAATGGGCAGCCAAACGACTTTTTTGAAAGTGTTTACACTCTGAAATAAATCAAGTCAGGAATTTTCATACATTGATTTTATAATCAGATATTGTTTAAATATCATGAACTATATTCTATACCGAACACTGGTTAGTCGACCCTCAAAGAGGCCCTATTATGCTTTCTGGGGTTTCCCTTCCCTCTAGTGTGTTATATAGGTGCATGTCAATGGTCTGCAAAGGCTAAAATCCCTGTGTTCCCTCCAGAGGAAGTTTCTCTCCCACACACTCCCCCCCACCCTGCCTGAAATGCCTCCATTGGACTCCTTTGTTTACTTCCATAACATAGTGACATCACTGTGTAACACTTGTGCTTCTATTGGCTAGCACTCAAACACATTGTATGTAATAGGTTAAGGGGCGGGACATCTCTAAGGGGTAACTAAGTTACCAGTTAACCAATCAGAGCAGACTGGGCTCTGGTTTCAGACAGAGGGTGAAAAGAGGTGCTGCAGCACAGGCAGTATGAGAAAAATAAAGAGCTTGTTGAACATGAAAGCATGGAGACATGTCCCAGTAGAGACACTACATACTGATATACACCTGAAGATGAGCATAACAGGGCCCCTTTAAAAAACACTGAAGAAGATTTGATGAGATGAAGCATGTCAGTATCGTCCATGTGTGCAGCTGTCTATTCTGTATAAAAAAGGACTATATTGCCATGTGTGTTTTGTTTGATAAATATACGTGCTTTGCCACCAGGTTGATGTAAAGGCAAACTTCAATTTCCTATAAGACGATGCGTGTCAGGGTGTTGTCGTTTCCTCGTTATTTGCATGAAGGAGACATGACTGTGTCTTTGCAGTTTTTCAGGTGATGTGTAGTCAAATGTTCTGACAACTATGGTAGGCGGTGTTTGCCCTCCCCTCCTCCTCCTCTTCCTCCTCCTACACCCCCTACCCTTTCCACCCACTCTTTTCTAAAGAAAACTCCATTGTATTTGATGGTATTGTAGTCCCTGTAGGTGTTTCATTATGGTTTGATTTTTTAAGTTCTATGACTCCTATATAGTGATGATTTTTGTAACCTTCTCTAGTAAAACCGATATTTTTTATTATCGTGACACCGTTTGTCTCCTGTCTCGTTCTTGTGTTCGGGTCTTTAAAATTATTTGATTTTTAACTTCATGTTTATGGTAACAAACTTATATTTAAGGCATTAAAAACATGTGACAAATAGTGGACTTTTAGAAACGTTAATACTTGACGTCTTCAAATGGCCTTTTTCTCATAAAGTTACTTTTTAGCTTCTCAAATATGTAGATTTCCTGCAATGGTTATATTTATACCATATAAATCACTGCATATCTGTTGGTTTTAGACAAAATAATACATTTTCTTGGACTATGAGAAATGTTCACAGCCTTTTATTTGACTATTTCCTGACATTTTATATACCAGACCATTAAAACAATTGTTAGTTGCAACCCAATTTATGTAGAAATAGAGCATTGTAATCTCATCAATTAATTTCTCAAACTTTTCGGATACATTTTCTGTTAAAAGTATCTAAAGCACATTTTTCTACAATATAAAATAATGACAAATAATTTTATAAAAAGAAAACTCCTACCTGTATTTTTAGGTTGGAAGCATTTCTTGGCTGTTATCGACATGATTGCCTCCTGTGTAGAGACACGGGTGTGCACACGTGATTTCACTTGATGCCTGATTAGACCTCTGTGCATGCAGACAGTACCTGCCTTATTTGCCTAGCAATTCTGTAGGAAACAAAATAATTAACTATATAACTTAATGAGCCCACATTATTCCCATAAAAAGCTCTACCTAACTCCAACCTGAACAATATATTAATATGTTATGGTTTAAAGCATTTGAGATGGAGTTTACCCATGTTACTGTGGAACCATTCATTTCTTGTACACGGACGCCCTCTTGTGGACAAAAGAGGGAACTACGCTCATAATTAAACGTGAATAACACACACACATTTTATCCAGTCGTACTGCTTTATCTCCAGTGTAGAAAATACTGGGAGTCATATACCATACAGAAAGTATTTTTAATAAGAAATGTTAAGGCCACAGAGGAATTAGAGTTTCATGTTGTGCTCCACTTTTATAGTTAGAGGGGTAGTGATTAATACAGGAACTAAACAACTCTTCCTTCGAGAAACACTAAATGAAATCACGGCATTACTGGGTTTTTATATCAACACACAATATCCTCCAATTATAACAGAAAGTAATCTTTTTATCTGGAACAAATTATGCTATAAAATGTAGTGCCAGAAAGAGTGGTTTCTACCTGTAATTTGATAGACCACATACCATTGAGGTACCTTTATATCAGCTGTATGTCAAGAGGAAAAGATAATAAGAATGCTATTTCTAGCCATGTTAATACTGTAAAAAACATTGATTTAAACATTATAAATGTTGTTTTTTCTAATGGTAATTTGCTTATAAAAAGGACGAGAAAATCATGTTTGAATTGTTATGGAATAATCAGTATTAAATCACTTTATTTTAAACGTTATCTGCATCTATAAATAGATAATAATCTGAGGACTGATGAGGTCAAAACTGTCTTTTACTTTTGGCAGTTTGTTTTGAGATGACAAAGCTTAGCTTTTCAACTAAAGTCACAATAACGCTCTAAAGGCCTTTAGACTATCAGGTTTGTCCACACACTGCATCTTTAAGGTTCATTGGTGACAAATAAATCAATACAACTCCGAAATATCAGTCTAATAACTCTCCATTCACGCTTTGTATAAATTAAAAAGCACATTCCCCACAGATCTGCCCCTACAGATCCCCAAAGATCTGGATCAGAGTTGGGAGTTTTGTGTCTCTTGTGTTAAAACGATGAATATTGGCAAAAAATGTTCAGTTATTGCTTCTAAAAACTGAGCAGACCCCAGTTCCTCTGACCTGCTGGGGGTCCGCTCAGCAGCAGGTGGACTCGGGGGGGCTCTTCCTCTGCAGGTCCACCGTGTTGCTGTGGATGAGGTGATCCGCTCTGTCGTCCATCGCCAGGACGCGACGCACCGCCTCCTCGAACACCGACGCCACATTGGTAGAATCCTTGGCGCTGGTCTCAAAGTACGGGTGTCCTCCGTTCTCCCGACACCACTGCCGGGCGTCCTCCCCCGACACCTGCCGCTCGGGCACGTCCAGCTTGTTGCCCAGCACCACAAAGGGGAAGTTGTCGGGGTCCTTGACGTCGGCGTAGTACGTGAACTCCTTCTTCCAGTTGCTCAGGTTGCTGAAGCTCTGGCCGTCGTCCACGCTGAAGGTGAGCAGGCAGCAGTCGGAGCCGCGGTAGAACGGCGTGCGGAGGCTGCGGAAACGCTCCTGACCCGCCGTGTCCCAGATCTGCAGCGTGACCAGGTGGCCGTCCACCTCCAGCTCCTTGTTCAGGAACTCCACGCCGATGGTGTGGAAGAGGTGCGAGTCGAACTTGTTGGTGACGTAGCGGTTCATGAGGGACGACTTCCCCACGCCACCGTCGCCCAGTAGGATGACCTTCAGGAGGGCCGACTTGGCCATCGTGGCTCGGAGAGTTTAGGAGTTGTGAGACACCAATGATAGAGGAAGCACCTGAGGAGCACAAAGAAATGAACAACAGACAGTAGCTGTGTTTGTACAGATGTAGAATACCAATGCTTAGTGCAGTATGTAGACCTGTAGGGCTGCAGTAAGCTGGGTGAAATATCAACAGATTTGATTGATTACATAGAGGTGAAAATATCAGTATTTCTGTGTGCTATCAAAAAAAAGGTGGTATAGTAAATCATGGCATGAAATGAATAGGCCTTGTCCGTACAGAATACGTACCCATGCAGTTTCAAACCACTGTTGGCTTTTATCAGACATTAGTCAAATCCTACCTGTCAGGTTTTCCTTCAGGAAGGCTTTACTGTGTTTTACCTTTGGCCTGAGATAAAGTTGAGATAGAAACAGCTTCCACTTGATCAGCCTGAGAGGAATTCTAACTCTCTGTGACCCCCCCACTCTGACTGTGATTCAAGTCAGTTAACTAATCCTATTAAAAGCAGCCGCAGCGCAGAGATTACACTACGCAACTAATGAACTTCCTACACCGTGTGTTTTGCATGAAATCATGCATGCTGTACATCACATGGACGCTGATCACAGGACCAGGAAGTGAGTGGTCCAAAAGTGATTCAACAACAGAAAGATTCAAACTCACCAGTTTATCAGATCTTCATTTCTTCAGCAATCTGTAAAACAGAGAGAGAGGAGTTAACAACACATATGAAATCCAACTCTGCAAATCACCACCAAGGAGTTCACCCATTTACAGGCTCAGTTTAGATGACTAATAATCCGGGGATTTAGCATCAATTTAATCTGACACCACACATGTATGCATGCTTAACGTACCAGTTTAAGCTAAATAGCAATCATTCCTCCCACATACCAAAACAAATCTGAGAATTAGTCTGAGCAGGAGGAACAACACCTCACTGTCTGTCACCGTATCAGCAAGTGTGTGTGGGTGAGTTTACCTTCCTGTTACATGTACTTTTGAAATAAATTGTACTTCTAAGAACGCTTTCTACTTGTCATTGGTCTAGATGTACACACTTCTAGCTACTTTAATAGATCTAGATATAGATTTTATAGATAGATAATTGATATAAGATGTATCTGGATAACAAATAACTTTCATAATAATGGTGTTTGCGTTGTGACTAACTGCCTTTAAAGGAATACTCCACCAAACATCTATTTATTTTATATAAAATACACCACATGTGTCTCTTATTAGATTATAGGGCCATTTTAATTTCTTAAAGCTCAAGTAGATTTATCGTAATGTATTGTTTTATTCGACTAACAGTCCACAATCGAAGGATATTCAGTTAGCTACCATAAAAGAGAAAGAAAAGTGTAAAACCCTCACATTTAAGAGGTTATAACAATATAACTACATTTGATGTAATTTATAAAGCCTATACAACAAAAGCAATCCCTTCTACAACTGTCACAACATATTAGAGTGTGCATGCAGTCTGCAGGTATTTAGGACGAACTGGCCAAATCCCCTGCTGGTTGGGCTGCAGAGATGAAAGACATGAATGAACTGTCACATGAGCTGCTAGTAAATAGTAAGCATGTTCAGCCCGAGGTGCAAAACTGGGTAAATGATGTCTTTGTTCTAAAATCTTTAAACACAGACTGCATTACTGTCTTTGTCATTCATTCTGGAGAAACACAAACATTTATTAAGAAGCAGAAATGCCATTAAAGCAGGAATGAATGGAAACAGTCACACACACACACACAGGAGTCATGTGCTGCATTCAAGGAAATGCTGGAAGGCCTATTTCCATTAGATTCATGAATACTTCCTTAAAACAACCACACACATGATTAGATATTGAATGTCCATTAATGTTAAGGAGACACTATTCTAAATTAGCATGGTAAAGCTTTGCCATATAAGAGTGAGCCTATAACATATTTACTATCAATTAACACGATTTATTAAACTCACAGGGGTTATAGCAGTGGGAACATAATGTTACAGTAGGATGTAACTTTGCAAACTTACTGTGACAAGTACATAGGATGTTTAGACTTTTAAAAATAATGTTAAACTGTTGTTTAATTACTTTACAGCGCCATAATTGCTGTTTTTAGCTATTTTACGCTCATAGCTTCATCAGGACTATGTAGTCTAAATGTAGTTAGCTTAACCGTGACTCAAGTTACTGACGCACATATTTGGTTCAAAGGAAGAGCTTGTATCTCTCCTAAACCTACATACACTTTTATGCTCATGGTTAGTTATTTCAAGCTGCTTTCTTGTGTTGGTTCCCCGCTAACATGTTGATACAATTGTTGAAAGAAGCAAAGCAAAAAAAAGGCATGTCCGATAATGGAAGCCTTACAATAACGTGTAGCTGTCCGATAATGGGTGAGCTAACAGTTGCTACTTTACTGACCGATAAAAACGACGGAAATAACAGATTTCTGACACTTAGATGTAAAGTTTTGTCATCTTAATAACGGTACCAGTCGGTGTCGCTGTCGCTGTCTAGTTAAATCCCATCCACCATCTCGCCAGGGTGCTGCTGTCCGCCGGTGACATGGCGCTCCGGTGTCCCCGCTGCTCTCTGGCCCCGCAGCCGCTGGTGACGCTCACATGACTGGGGAGAGTCACGCCTCCTCATCATGTGGATGTCCGTGAATGCACCATTTATTGTCCCCTTTACACTGAAACTAACAGCTGTTCTGGAAGTTTTTAATAATCAAACCTGTAAACTGTGGCAAAATATATGTGGAGATTTCACTTATAATATCTGTATTCTTATCTTTATTTTATTTATTTTTTAAAAGGTAACAATTAAGTCTATTTTTAATTAACCACATTATAATTTCTACATTCATAATTGTACATTTGCTTAAATTATACATCAAATTCGTGTTTAAAAAAATACATTGACCTATATATAAGGACAATTACTTAAAAAAGCTATCAAAAATGTTTATTTATTTGTATTCCATGTAATAATCATATTTGTTATGCTCTTATTTGTCTTTATATATGTTTACCTATGTATCTGTTTAATTTCCAATATTTTAATAAAATAAAAACAATGTTTTGTTGCACTTTTTTGTCTGTCCTATGTCCTTTTTGAGACCAGTTTACATTCAAATATTTGTTTTAGGTGAGCTGATACCTGGAAATATAACTGTGCATTGCAATATAATGAATGCAGTTGTTACGCCTCTTACTGATGGTTAAGATCAACCAAAGGAGCCCAACACTTCCTACCTCTGTCTGCAGTGTGTGTTGTCTGTCTGTATCTGTGTGCGAGAGACAGATCTGATGGGAGGGAATCTGTCACTTAACACTTAAAAGATAGTGAGCATCTGAGAAGCCACAGTGCTGAGATACCGAACAACAACTGGCAAGATAATACAGCCGCATGAGAACCGTGAGAATTAGGGGTTCATCTTCGGACATGCCTAATTTAGCTTTTAAAAGCCAACTTCAGATACAAAAAAAGTCTGTTTTTAGCCAGGATATGCAGATCTACCTTACTTTCAGCTAAGAAACTGATATTTTTACATTTTAAAAGTGATATTTATGAAAGTATTCAGACTGCTTTGTACGATGACGTGTAAATTAGTCATTGTGCCACATCATGAAGTGAAGGATCATGGGATATGGGGGAAGGGAGGGGGATTACTGACTCACATGCTCAAGTGTTTCTAAGATCACATGTCTCGTCCAGTGGAAGCGAGAGGCGTGAATGTAATTACTTACACTAGGAGCAGCCGAGTACCTTAACATCAGAAAATGACACATTAGTGAGGTCAGAGGTCTTACCAAAGTGGCTTTACGTCATTCCCCTGACAAGAAATTGTTCACGTGAGAAAGAGGATTCAGGAAAAGCATTTCAATGAGTTACTGTAAGTAGATTAAGTGCAGGAGGCAGGAAATGATTTAGCGGGAGGAAGATGATGAAGCAACTTATTTAAAAGCTGTGGTTTTGCTCAGGCAATGTTTGGGCTTTTCATAATGGAGTAACTGGTGAATGCACACGAAATAAAGAACGCATCTTTAAAAAAAGTCTTATTTAAATCTCAAGTGTGTGCTCAAACATGCAAAAATGCTCTGTCCTTTGTTTGTGTGTATTCAGAGGCAGACCCAGCCGCTGTGGTACCACTGCTGCCCACAGCCGCTGCAGGTCACAAAGGTCATGGAGTCGTCATCGGGGCTGCTCTGCCTCACCCACGCCGGCAGGAACAGGGCCCCCCGTGACACCTGGGTCACCCTACAGTCCGACCCCCCACAGTTTCTGCACCTTATCTTCTGTGTCTGTGTCCCTTCGACTCCCCGTGGAAGCTGCCTCTCGCTCACCCCCCTCCACGAGTACTCCTCCCTCAGCTGCCGGAGCTCCGCGCCCGCCATCTCCTCAGCAGACATCCGGGAAAACACCTCCGGGGACAGTGCGCCGCTCAGAAGGCCCTGACGCAGATGCTTGTGTTTGGGATTCCTCAGGTTGGCCACCCTGCTCCTCACACAGGCTTTGTATTTCACCTGGCTGGGTGTGTGGAGCTCATGGATGTGCTTTTCTATATCTGCAGCCAGATCTGCTGCCTTGTGTTGATCAGGAGGTTCAGGGCAGAGGGCGGAAAGAAGAAGCTGGACACACTTAGATCTCACAGATGAGAAACTACAGGAAGCTTCGACCTCAAAGTGGGAATCCTCTTGCTTTGAAACGCCTCCATCTCCAGCCTCATGTGGAGGAGAAACCCTACGAGAGGCCTCCTTGCTTTTCACTCCATGTGCTCCTTTGCTGTACTGTCTCTTCCACTTAGACAACAAGCCTTTAGCGGTCTGCTTCACGCTGTCATCAGAGCAGCTTCTCAGGAGCCTGTAGAGCACTTTCACAATGTCTGTGGTCTCCAGCTGCTCCGCTGTGACCTGAGACTTATCGAGGTCACCGAGCAGGGTCAGGATGGTCCCATAGCTCCTGTCTGCGAGGGATCTCTCTATCTGCACAGCACAGTGGATTATTTCTTTGGCATCCATGGTGGCTGCAAGGAAACAGACAAGAAGATTAGGGGGGCTACTTGTGCCTGGGGTCGTACAATTTTGACTTTTAGTGATGGATTTACTGGTGAATACACATGTGAAATAAAGGATACATCCCAAAAATGTCTAATTTAATATGTCAAGTATGCATTTAAACCTGCAGGAATGCTCTGTCCTTTCTCCTGTTTTAATGGTAAAGAACATACTTGGAAATAGATGTTGCTGTTTTCGTTTTTTGGTGTGGAAGAAAAATTCTTTAACTCTTATTTAGCAAATAAACAAAACATCGAGATCAAGTTCTGCAACTTTTAACACAAGCTCTTGCATTATGCATCAGTCAACAAAGTACAATGTTCCTTTTTGAGTTGGTTTACCTGAAATCCTTCATGGTTTGCAGCTCCTTCACATGAGCAGTTCCTCAGCTGGAAACGTCAACACGGGAGCCGCCATGTTGGATTTCTCTTCAAAACAGGAAGTGCACAATTTAACCACTAGATGGTCCTGCAGCCTCATTGATTGATTGAATTGATTGAAAAGTTTATTAACAGCTTGTATATTGGGTACAGTACAGTACAGCTCAAAACATACAATTGTTAAGGGGATGCAGACCAGAGAAAGACTTTCGTCTTGTTTACATCAGGGTCCCCCATTTCCAATTCATCATATACTTCACTCATTAAGGCTCAGTAAGTTTCTGATGTCTTAAGAAATTGAAGATAAGCATGAATAACACTTTATTTTCTTGTATTTGATTCCATCTAGATATGGGGGGTGTCATCTTGAATCCTATAATCCTCCCTTCAGTGTTGTGTTTAATCTGTTTTTGTGTCACAATAAAAGGCCTGTTGTGGTGAATTTCCGCAAACAAAGACCACATGTAATCCATTTAATTTCCTATCCTATAAAACAAAAGAAAAAAAGACCAAATGCATATATATAATGACACTTGAATTAAATAAATCTATCTTTATAGGAATTATCCCTCTGGCTGTATGTGTACATAAATCACATTTAAACCAGCGCCAAATCTGAGTTTTAATATCAAAGTAACCTATTAATTCACGTTTAAAAGTACTACCATTAATTATATATGTTTTTTTCACACAGAAATAGCTGCATGACATATAAATAGCTGAGCGGGGGGACATTATGTAACCTGTGTATGACATCAGCATTGTAATCCCATATTATAAATGTGCTTTAAAATTGATTCAGCCGGGGCCGATAGAGGTGGAGGCCCCGAGGGAACATTTCTCTCCCACTCCCCCCCCTGCCTGAACCTCCTCCATTGGACTCCTTTGTTTACTTCCAGACCATAGTGACATCACTATGAAACACCCACGCTTCTATTGGCTAGCGCTCCAACACATTGTACATGATAGGCTAAGGGGCGAGACATCTCTTAGCGGTTGATCAATCACAACAGAGCCGGCCAGCTAACCAATCAGAGCAGACTGAGCTCTGGTTTCAGACAGAGGGTGAAAAGAGGTGCTGCAGCAGTATGAGAAAAATAAAGAGCTTTTTGAACATTAAAGCATGTCACAGTAGAGGCAGTAAAGACAAATATGAACCTGCAAATTAGCAGAATATAGTAAAAGTAAGAAAGTATCAGCATCTTATCATGGTCATATTGGTGTTTACATTAATTACATCATATACTAACCCATAGTAACATGTATACGTTGATTTATATTGTGTATTCATCTGTAAAGTAACAAAATATGTAACGTAAATATGGTGGAGTAAGTAGCATAATGTGGAAAGTACCTTAATTTGATGTAGAGTACTTGAGTACTGGTTGCTTATATATCTTTGTGTGTGTGTGTGTGTGTGTGTGTGTGTGTGTGTGTGTGTGTGTGTGTGTGTGTGTGTGTGTGTGTGTGTGTGTGTGTGTGTGTGTGTGTGTGTGTGTGTGTGTGTGTGTGTGTGTGTGTGTGTGTGTGTGTGTGTGTGTGTGTGTGTGTGTGTGTGTGTCTGTTGAGATGGGTGGGGTCATCCTCCTCCAGGAGTCGACACCTTGCCCCATGCTTCTCGTCTCTCCTTACACACATGACTGGAATTCCTGAAAACACACACAGGGCTCCAGGGATCTTCTCAACAAAGTCATTTCACTGCAGCCTGTTGTACTCGTGTATGAGAGTGGAATTTTACCAGCATGCTGCTTACATTCACATCATTCATCGATAGGTGGCGCTCTCTCTCAGCATGTTGGTGAAGAAGAGGAGTCATCACATCCTGCTTCTGTTGTCTCCGCCTCTTGAGAAGACCACCCACACTTGATGGCTTGTATGCATGAGCACACACTCAAACACAGACATGTACACACACACACACACACACAGACTTGGCTGCTTGAGAAATTCTAAGGAGGGGCTTTTCTTGTTAAAGTGATCAGTTTCTTCATGGGTAGACATTCATGACAACATCGTAAGACCCCCCCACCACAACATGAAAACACACACTGCAAAAAGTGTGTGTTCTTTTGTCTCAAAGTGTGTGTGAGCATAAAAGAATATAAGGTGTTCAGGAAATCACGAATCAGCTGAGTTTTGTGCAATATTAAAAACACACATTATCAGCGAGGGTAGAAAAGGGGAAGCTTGTGTTTATTTCTTTCCTGAGATGCATGACGCCTGACTTGTTTTTGGGAAAGTAGAAACATTTCCCATCATACAAAATGTTATTTACCCCTTCTGTTTATGTGGTCAGGGAACAAAGACTTTTAAAAAACACCTATAATTACACATTTTATGACAACTGTTATCCCATAAATACAGTTAGATTGAAATAGACTGCATTACATTAAATGTTCGCCTTTTCTTGAACAATCACTATAGGTTGACTTTAGGGTCGCTAGTTGGTGGATCTCTGTTCTCATGAGGTAAAATCAACCTCTATTGTGTCTGTGCTTAATGCTCTTGACAGGGTGTGTGCGTGCGAGTGTGTGTGTGTGTGTGTGACAGGGGGTTGCCTTGCTGCCACCTTACCCATCACACCCCGCTACACACACACCCATCATGACCTTGAGGGTGATAACAGATGACTGGAGTGCTCTTTCTCTTTGTGTTTCCTCTCTGCCACAGGATTCATCCTGCTCTCACCGATCTGATCTGTGTTTCTATTTTGAAGCAGACAAAGTGTCACATTCTCAGCTCGTACTTATTATTAACAGTCGTGCAGCGCCGCAGGCAGGAAATGATTCTCCCCAAACATGCAACCACATACACTAGCGAGTGTTATGTCATCATAATATTGTCCTTTTGCAACAAGACTATAGAAACAATAAGAACTGATATCGGCGTGTGTGTGGTTTGCCCTGCAGGGGAGTCATAGCACAATCACAAGACACACAAACACACAAGTCGATGTCACTTCTTTGGAAGAAACTGGATCCTTGTGATGTGATGCAACCCATTTCCTGGTAATAGTTCAAACGAAGGTTGCAACAAACTGTAAGCGTTTTTCCACACTTAAAGCAGTGATCTGAATTAAAGTTGCTTTCAAGGACGTACATGCTAATCCTCTGTGGTCGCAGCCATATGTTCCCCAGAGGGAATAATCCACATTGATTCACCACATTTGTTTTCCCATGGAACCCCCCCTCTCCAACTCCAACACACACCAACATGCTCGGCCTTATGGGAAATTCGCCACCACCATCCCAGGGTTTCAAATGACCACATCCTCCTGGGATGCTCACAGTTGCGCAGCATCACTGGACTAGCATGTGTAATGTGATCACAGTGGAGGGGCGCGGCTCGGAATGTGCACAGGTGTGAGGGGCTTCCTCTGGTTCAGCTGTGGGGGAAATCCCTGTGTAAATAGTGTGAGTTATCATCATGTGTGTGAGGGTGGAATATAAGCTTCCTTATCATTAAATACTGTATGCAATTGTATTATATTGTGCAGTATGTTGTCTTCTAGCATTTCAAGCTAATTATTGTCTAATGCACATTATTACCAAATTAGTAGGTGAATAAAGTAGCCTAATGGGCATCTATTAAATATATTGTTGTGTAATGTTATGACCCTGTATGTTTGTCCTGTACGTGGTTTCCTAATGAGTTGTGATTAAATGAGAAGGCCGTAAAACTAGCTTTACAATACATGGCGAGTTTGATTTGTGCATACTTGTCCCTATATATCAAAAATATATATTTATTGTTGTCATATTCTGCAAAAATGTAGCATACAAAGTAATAAAAAAGATCGACTACGCTGCTAGAATCCCACATAACTCCACTCCTACCTCCTAAAGAGCCTTAAGCACACAGATTAATATCTACCTTCATTAAGACAAGAACTGAAGTGGCTTCTGTCTCGAAAGGCGGTGCCCTGTGTGTAAATCACCGCTGTCTAACGGGCTTCTGTGTAACGTGACTTCTTCACTACCACACCTCCTCTCTCTGAGATATGAAGCATCTGAGAGGGATTTATGAACAAATCCCTCTGCGGAAACTTTCAGAATATAAATGGGTATAAACCTGGAAAGATTGTAGAGTATGTAAGTGATACTGAAGTGAAGATTTCTACACATGCAACAAGACATATTGAACACCTAAATATGTTTTTTTAAGTGTTAACCCTAAGTCTGAAAGAAGATATGACCAGTGCAGGAAGAACACAATGTATGTGTTCCTATAAGAGAGAGGACATAGGGCAGCATGTACTGTCCTTTTGACATTTTTAGCCTGATACTCCCCCCCTCTCCCCCTCACTTTGCTGGTAATTTCCGTTGTGTGATTGAGTCTATCCTAGATGGGTCTGCAGCGAGTGTGTTCAGGACCCTTCTCTACCTCTGGTCCTCTTTCACCTTTGTCTTATACCTTTTTCCATGTATCTCCATCTTCTATTCCTCCTTCATTTCCTGCTCTTTCTCTCCCCTCTTCTTGCTTCCCCTGCAGATTTAACAAACACATTCCTCCCCCTCCCTCCGACATCCTCCATTTCTCCTCTCGGCGCCTATCCTCTACTTTCAGACGTCTGATGGATGCACGATTAGGAGCTCCAGAAACCACAGATAAACCGAATCAAACCAGGAATAGAAGGTGGAAGAAAAGCGTGGGATGAGCTGGAAATGCATCTACAGTATGAATGTTTGTTGTTGTGCACGCTCGAAAGCTCTCACAGATTCCTGTTTGCTCATGTGGCGAGGGTATTACCAGAAACAGGGGAGCAGGAGCCACCTCCTCTCTCTTTCTCACTCTTAAGTAATCAATAAACACACAAACACACACACACACACACACACACACACACGTACACAAACATGGCTAGTTGGAGGCATGAGATGAGGAAGCTGTGAACAGACTAGGTGATAAGAGGGTGCAATCACACTTACAGTCCAGACACAAATAAAAACACTGTGAAATCTGCATTCATCCGATTTGTACAGAAGCTAATGCTATAGCTAATAGGTGATTTACAACTGACTTAAAGACGCAATAAGTAGGATCTTTCCACAAAAATATAGGGTCTCGTACAAAAATAGTCCCTCTCTTTACTTAAGGTGTCTGTATCTGCAAATATCCTGCAGCCCAGGATTCTTCTGGGCTGGGCTCAAACATGATAAAAATGTAGCAACTAGGTGTTAGCATGCATCTTCTTTTACCGTCTGCAAGCACCATAACCTCTGATGAGCCAGAGAGGAAGGTTGTTCTGTGTTTAAGTCCCTGTGACTGATAATGTTCTTTCAGGACAGAAAATACTGTAGTGGAGAATAGCATCATTATCTTTAATTAAAGGAGTGAAGGCTGCAGTGCAGAGGTCAAGCAAACCTTTCCAAACACGCTCGGCATGAACACACACCCTCACATCACACATGTTTGATGTTTCTCCTCCAGGTCTGCAAATAGTTCACCTCTGAACTGCTGAACATGGGGAGTCTGTGACAGACAGAGGTGGAGGTCACTTGAATCTCTATTGACGGGATGAAAGCTGCTGTCACACAGATATCGGGGTGATGGTACACACTCTCTTTAAGAGGGGACATCTGAAGACAGGTCAGGCTCTTGCCATTAGCCTTGGCTTTGAAGTGCAGGCCTTTGTTTCTGGGTTGATGTGAGGTAAACCACATCGCTGCGTCTCACTTCCTCCCTTTGAGCTGCTGCGCTCAGACCAAAAGGGGAACTTTAAAGTAAAAAACACAATGTGCTTGTTCACAGCTTAGAGGAAGTATCACTAACAGGAAGAGTGTCTAGCATCGAGGCTTACTTAAAGTTAAACATTTACTTTTAGGTTAGAAAAGGTGCAACTTACTAAAAAAGAACAATTTG